CTGAGGAGAAATTTCCTGACAGCTAGAACAATTTATCAGTGGAACAGCTTGCCTCCAGAAGTTGTGAATGCCCCAACACTTTAAGAAAATGTTGGATAGCCATTTGTCTGAAATAGTATAGGGTTTCCTGCCTAGGTAGGGGGTTGGACTAGAAGACCTCTAAGGTCCCTTCCAACTCTGGTATTGTATTGTATTGTATTTATATTTGTATTTTATGGTATTGTATTGTATGTGTGGTTCCTTGGCTACTACCGATCCACAAAGACCATTCCTGATTGAGCTTCTTCAGACAGTAGAGTGGTCAACTTGGTCACCTGATGAAGTTGCCAGATGCTGAGGCAGTTCCTGAGTGGATTTCCTCCGATCTCTCAAAGGAACTTCTCATCCGAGTGTGAAAGTTTCCTTGACCTTTCGAATCCTCTTTTTTCCCCCTGACTTCTCCTGATTCCTCATATTTCCTTATAACAGCTTGAACATCTATGCAGGTTCTCAATCATCTGGGTCATGGTTGTCCAAAGGTGTTTTTTAAAGGGCAACTGGACTTTTTTAGTTTGTTTCCTTGAAGGAGTTTCATTTATCATCCAAGAAGCTTCAGCTATGAAGAAACTGTAGCATCTTCTTGGATGAGAAGCAAAACATACAAGACACATTAAAACACAAGAGAATGTCCAACAAAGAAAAACCTCTTTACAATAAAAAGATAAATTAGACCCTCAAAACTTGCTGACACTACTAACAAAACTGAGCAAATTAAAAGGCAGCCCAAACGCCAGAGCAGTTGGACACAGGGCCACCCCAGAAGCCACCAGTCCACAATCAAGAATACTCCATTTCCTCAGAAAAAAAGTCTGAAGCTCAGATGAAAGTCTTTTTCTGGAGAGTGAGGGCGAGCTGATTGCAAAGATGTTGGACTGGATCTTGAATGCTGCAGCCTTGATGTTGCTGTTGAAGCAGAAGGAAGAGCTCAATGGGTAGATTTTGTGGGGAAGAAGATGCAGGTTGGGGTAGTGGTGAAGGTACCAGGTTAGAGACTTGGAAATACTCAGCTCCAGTCCCGCCTTAAAGTGCGAAACCATCTTTGCATCTTTGGACAGTCCTATCAGGCCTAGGCCTAAAAGCAACAAAGGAAAAGAATTGACGACTGACTGACTGACTTAAAAGGAACTGAAACCAAACATCTGGTGTAAGGGCTCAAGGATGCTGGATGGAAAGCTACAAGTTATAATTCAGTGTTAAGTCAAACGTAAAGATGCCTTCCATGAGCTATGGAACATTGACAGGAAAATCAATATGTCATGATAGGTAAGTAGGGGATGTATGGGAGACATTTACCCTTAAATTACAGCATGCTACCAAGGAAGTGCTTTGTATGCCATCTTGAGTTTCTGAATAAAAATGGAATCAAAAAAACGTTGAGGTTATTATATTCCAGATTCCTTCATGCAACAGAGCTCAGAGCCAATATCATCAGAATAGAACAGAAATGGAAGGGGCATTGGCGGTTTTCTAGTCCAACCTCCGGCTCAAACGGGGGAACTTATACCATTTCAGAGAACTGACCGTCTTCTCTGTTCTTAAAGGCCTCGGTGATGAAGCACCCACAACTTCTGAAAACAACCTGTTGCACTGGTTAATTATTCTGTTACGAAGTTTCTCCTTACTTCTTGGTTGCTTCTCTCCTTCATTAGTTTCCATCCATTGATTCTTGTCTTGCTTTCTAAGGCTTTGGTAAATAAATGGAACCCCCCCCCCCTCCTCTGTGTGGAAGCCATTCAAACACTGGAATACTTCTATCATCATCCATGCCTTATTAAGCCTATATTAAAAATGGCATTGTAGGGTGTCCTTCTAAAAAGGTTAGCCTGGTGATCAGTTAGCCATGTGGTTTGATGGGCTATTCTATTTTGCCTTTTGTTTTTTTTACAACTCCTTTTTGGAAACATTTCTTCTACCAAATATAGATTATCACTCCCTCTCTCTTAGAGCCCCAATTTCTAGTCTGCGTACTTTTTCTCTCTGTGTGGTCTAATGGAGACTTCCATGCAGGCCAGTTTACAGAGGATCATGGCATTTGGCATTTAGCAGATATAAAATTCCCTCTGTCAAGAATGAACATGGCATGCCGGGTGCTCTTGGATGGAGCCCTGGTCAGGTGAATTGAAGCTGGCTCACCTGGAGCATCTCACTTGATGGTGCTGCCATGCAATAAATCCTTGGCACCCACAAGAAATCAGTCATGAAGTTTTGGGATGTAGAGAAGTTTTGATCTCCAGTGAGAGACACCCCCAAGAAAGCTGATTCTGTAATTAACTTTTAGGTCTGAGCATATCGCTAATCTTCGTAAGGCTAAGTAGCATCGCATTTCACTATTTCACTTGGCTCAGTTGCTAGAAGTCAAAACCGACTTGATAGCATTTGATCAGTGAAAACATCTTGCAAACGCTTTAGGTCGTAGAGACGGGACAAGCGTGTTTTTCCGCCTGCTATCTGGAGATGGCGATCAGGTAGACAACGTCTGTGCCTGAGAAGTGCATAAAAGGTAATAAAAGAGTTAAAACCATCGAGTACCCTATTGCTAGAAAGGATAGGAGAAGCGTAAAGAACTTCGGGATCACTCATGGGCGGAAGGTGTTGTGCAGAGTGGCTTTTGTGCTCTTCGCTGGGTCGAAACATCAGCTGGAAGGTGAGTAGAGGGCAAGTCGGGCTGTTCGGTTTCTTCCACGACCTGGAAGCAGAGAAGCAACTGGGCTGAAGCATCTCAGCTGCTGCTGCTGCTGCACTTTCCTTCCCTCCCCGAATTTAAGCCTGTTGGTGCTGCACGCTGTGAAACTGGTGGCTGCAGTTTTCCTTCTGGTGGGAAGATTGGAAAAGTCTCTTCCGAGTGAAGGTGGATCCTTTGGGAATGGCTTCCCTCCAGAGGTTGTGGGGGCTCCCATCACTGGAGGGTTTGTGACAAAGCTGGGAGGGACCTTGCAGGGCTTCTATTCCCACGCCCTGATCAAGCAGGAGACCCAATATCACTTCAGACAAATGGCTGTTTACTCTCTGTTTAAAAGCCACCAGTAATGGAGCTTGCTCCTTAGTTCTAGGCTGCTTCTTTCCTTGATTAGTTTCCATCCAGGTCCTTGTCTTACCTTCAGGGGCTTTGGAAGAATAGGTTGGCCCCCTTTTCTTCGTGGCAACTCCTCAAGTATTGGAACACTGCTATCATGTCACCCTCTAGTCCTTCCTTTCATATGACAATTCATTTCCAATTCCTGCAGCCTTTCTTTGTATGTTTTAGCTTCCAGCCCCCTAATCATCCCTACTGCTCTTCTCTGCACTCTTTAAATAGTCACAACACCTTTAAAAAAAAATATTGTGGTGATGAAAACTGGTTGCTGTAATCCAAGTGTGATCTTACCAAAGCATTATAAATTGGTACTAATAATTCATGTGATCTTGATTCTATCCCTCTTTTTAGGCCAGACTAGGATAGAATTACCTTTTTTGACCCTTGCATCACACTGTTTATTTAAGTGATATTTAGGGGATTGTCAACTAGGACTTCAAGGTCCATCTTACAATTACTGCTATTGAGCCAGGTTGTACCTATTCTGTACATTGCCATTCGGTTTTTCTTGGTTAAGTGTAAAACTTATTTTGTTTTCTCTATTGAATTTCATTTTGTTGGATAGGGCCCAGTGTTCAAATTTATGAAGATTCTTCTGTATCTTGAGTTTGACTTTTGGAGTGTTGTCTATTCCTGCCAGCTTAGTGTCATCTCCAAATGTGATGAGTTCCCCTTCTATTCCCTCATTTGAATTTTGTATGATGATATTGAAGAATACAGGGCCTAAAACAGAACCCACTGCTTACCGCCCTCCATATAGATGTAGTTCTATTAAGGGCTACACATTGAGTGCTATTTTTCAGCCAGTTACAAATCCACCCGGTGATGATGCTATCTATCCCACTTTTTTTTTTTAGCTTACCAAGAAGTAGACCGTCTACTTTATCAATTGCCTTACTGAAATTCCAGAATACTATGCCCACAGCATTCTGCTGGTCCACTAATTCAATCACTTTGTCAAAGAATGAAGTAAGATTTGTTTGGCATGATCTTTTTTTGAAAAATCCATGTTGGCTTCTAGTTATAAGTTTGCTTGTGTCTAGTGATTTGCAGATCTGTTGCTTGATTATTTTTTCTAGGATCTTTTCAGGCATTGATGTCAAGGCTGATTGGTCTGTAGTTTTCCAAATCCATTTCCCCTTTTTTGAAGGTGGGAACTACATCAGTGTTCTGACCCAAGTCACACTGGCAAGGCAAGGTTTAATAGCATCTGTTTATTGCTCACTGATCACAGTGTCAAACGATCCACCAATGGTGCCAGTGAAGGTCCGTCTCAGCCCTCAACCCCCAGCTGCTATTGAGCCAGGTTGTACCTATTCTATACATTGCCATTTGGTTTTTCTTGGAGAACTGTAAAACCTTTTTTTTTTCTCCATGGAATTTCATTTTGTTGGATAGGGCCCCGTGTTCAAATCTATGAAGATTCCTCCGTATCTTGAGTTTGTCTTTTGGAGTGTTGTCTGTTCCTGCCAGCTTAGTGTCATCTCCAAAGTTGATGATTTCTGCTTCTGTTCACTCATCAAAATTGTTTATAAAGATTCTGAAGGATACGGGGCCTAAGGCAGAACCTTGGGGTACTCCATTGCTTCCTTCCTTCCATATAGATGTAATTCAGAAGTTTTGACTGTGGCCATTTTGGGGTATTTTTTCAGGTTTGAAAGACATGGATTTTTGACATAAATACATTTGTATGTGTCTGTATCTGTATTTCTTTGCATGTGTATATATCTGCAATTAGATAATCTATATCCAGCACTTCCAGATATATTTGATGATAAGCCTTTCCACTGTAAGAATTTCTGATTGATGTAAATCAACAAGAATATTAATTCATATATATGATTGAATGGATATTTGAATTTGGATCTTGGTTGTTTTCCATGTGTCAAATGGATCATGATTAACATTAGAAGATCTTTCAGCATTGTGGCATGTTCGCTTTTTCATTGTAACATATACTTTTTTCCACATCTACAACAATTTTATAAACAATTAACATTACACTTTTCTTTGAATCTTATAGGCAAAGAATATGGCAATAAGAGCATACTGGACAACTGATAATAACAAGCAATTTTGAAAAGGAAAGAAAATCAAGCCAAAAATCAAAATATTTTCCATTTCCTTCAGAGAGCCACATCATTCTTCTTTTTCCTGATCAGGTGAGAGATAACGGACAGAAAATTAAGAAAGATTTCAAATGGGAATAAGTAGATTATATGGAACTCAAGCATACATTACATGAAAAGTCAAGGGAGATTATTTTTTTTCAGCAAAAGATGGAAATATCGGGAAGTCAGTGAGGAGGAAAAAGTCTCTTGGAGAGCCACGTCAGGTAGACAGAGATGCAGGCCTCACTTAAACTTAATTTAATCAAAACACTACTAAACAACGGATAACACATATTTTTGACCAAGAATAAAAGTGTTGGAAGAGCTCTAT